TGTCTAACAACTAAGAATGAATATAGATGTCTGAAAAAGCACCTTTTTTATGTACAATACGCACAACCGATATGGGTAGACCGCATTTAACAATCATAGTATTACTTTTTGATAAGCAAAATCTCAGAAATCATAGATTTTTTAATTTTTTTCAATACTAAGGTTAATGCAAGACTAGAGTTCGATAAAAATTGCCATGATATCAGGAACGTTATTTCATGCCTAACATCTGTATTTGAATACGTTTGTGTACTTCATGTCTATTGCAATTTACAAACTTATTCAGTTACAAATATTTAGACACAAGATTATTGCCTTATGCATGGAATTTTTGAAGGAATTTCCCTTATATACGTCATTGTTGCTTAAGTCTTTAATGATGCGAATATCCACAAAAAGTCGTTACTTTTCTAGGGAAATTCATTCACGTCATAAAAAAATGAAAAGTACGTAAATGGCTTGTGTCATTTTAATTTCGTATCGGAAAATTTTTCTGATTGCTGTGGACAAGAGAAAATTCACGTATTTTGTACGCACCTGTTTGATATTGGACGGATTAAACGCAATTTTAGAGTCTAACGTTATTCTAATTTAGGCTGGTTGCCGACAACGGTGCTTTTCGTCCTCATCTGCGATAGTTGTCTCTTCCAACTTCCTCTTCGTGCAACTATGTATTTACGGTGAGTGGTGGTTTCCAGGAATCGGCGTCCTATCAAAAAAAGGAGATAAAATATTTCAGAATCTTAAGTCACTTTCTCAATGTATTGAAACTCATCGCCGATGCGTTTATTTATGCTAGTCGACTGGTTGAAATCCGTTACGCTATGTGGATGTTTCACTCTCATGTTTGCCAACAGTTATGCAGTGAGTTTCATATATCTCGAACTTGTAGTTTAATTGTGTGGAAACTAGGCGAATGAAAGACTTAAACAACCAAGAGTTCCTTTTTTATTGGTAGGGTTAAACTAATTAAATAACGTTTCTGGAAATGACATGTACGAAGTGCATTACTTTAATTCCATTACGAAGAATTGCTTTGGCTTCCAGCGATAATAGCGATCAGTGGAGGGAGTCAATGCCACAGAGAAGATTGACTTGTAAAGGGCTTATCATTCACTATCCTTGTATAGCTCTCAGCTTCCTCCTCTCTGAGATTTGTGGGTTTGATATCTAGTGGAAACTCCGTA